TTTGTGCAAATCAACAGCCACCATCTGCCTGGCACCATCATAAGGCACATGCTGATAAATAAATTGATCATGCTCATCAAAATGACCACCTGTGACTTACAGATTAATCAGAAGCACATGAATGTGTGGGTGTATCAAACTCATATTGGAAAAATCAGGCCCAGGAGCTAGTGGAACCACCTCAGGATGCAGCCCCTCACTCGAGACYCACAGAAGGAGGGGCACCTGAGCCTGGACACAGCAGCACGCTGACCCTGTCACCTGGTCACTCATCACAGCCTCACCCAGGAATGTCACCACAGCAATGAACCTTCAGTTCTCTGTCAGGGGCTTCAGCAGAGCAGCTTCTCCTGCCAGTGACGACCATGCAAGTCCCGCTCCAAGCTGACACCTCAGGCTGACACTCCAAGCTGACATGAGACTGGCACTCTCTGGACCTTGGCCTAGAATAGGTTCCTGTGCTCCGACGGCCCTGCGCCCTGCACAGGTTCTCGGTGGTTCCTAATCTCATCYGACCACCTGTGCTGACCCTGTCTGTACCTGCTATCTGCCTCCTGAAGCCTGAGGCCGCCGCACAGTTCCCAGCCTCTCTGTAGCCTGTACATATAGTTGTGTAGAGTGCGTTGTGTGACTTGAGCCTTACAGATGTAGAAATCAAGACTGAATGACCCTGTGACTGCCCAGCTTGACACCAGGGACCCACACGTCTCCACTGAACTGCCACTGATGAGAGTGAGGATGAACTCATTCAGTAAGTTCTGACGCAGTGGAGACGTGTCTGGTCTGTTGGTGACCTGGCTGGCTCATGACAGCAAGAAAAGCGGCAGGACGGCAAGGCTCACCCTCCCAGGCTGTCCACGCCCAYGCAGGCGGTCGCAGGGTCGGGGGACATCCATCTTACTGACACTCCCTTTTATGGTGAGTTTCTTGTTTGTGTTTTGTTGTTGTTGTTTTAAGTGAAATGTGACGTCCGATCACCGAGGACACCAGGACTACGGGTGCAGCCGGGTGAGCCCCGCGGCCCTTCTAGGCGTGCACCCTCTGAACGTCGCACAGACACAGTTATATAGTCGGCATTCTTCACTCGGCCTTGTCTCCTTCAACCTCCGTTTGTGAATTCCCACGGAGCTTCTGCAGGAAGCTGGGATTGGTGGATTTTACTGGTGAAGGGGAGTCCTGGGAACGGACTGGCCTCGAGCTGGACCCGTCCTGCAGCTGATGGACATCCTGGCCATCTCCATCACGGGCTGGGCCTTCTCGCTGTGTCTGCTCTGTGGCGGGGCACTGTTCTGCTGAGCAGAGTCACAGGAGACCACGTAGGAAGGGACACCGATGGTCTTCCAACATGCCTGGGCCAGCRTGCGTCCTCGGCCCAGCACAGGAGCCCCGGTTTCCTCTGATCCCCACCAGAACCGTGCCCGGTGCTGTCCTGGACACGCCTGCCCTTGGTGGAGCAGGTGGTATGGGTGGTGTGCTCCTGTGGCTTCAGTGACTTTGGTCACATGTGAAGTTGGGCAGGAGCCCTTTTTTCTGCCACCTGCCACCTGCCGCCTGCTGGAGTCCACCGGGGCCTGTTTGCCCATCTCTGCTCGGCAGAGGGCTGATTTACAGGGATCTTTATTCCAGATACAAGTCCTTTGTCACACGCCTGTGTTGAAATATCTCTGTCCCCTGTGGCTTGTCTTTCCACTCTCTTGGTGGTGTATTTTTGAAAAACTAACGTCCTTAATCTTTGTGTCAGTTTTTAAACTTTCCCTTTGTGGTTAGAGATTTTCTGTCCTGAATAAAATACCTCTGAAGTTATTTGATAGCTTATAATTTGATCTAAAGCTCCTGTTTCTACCTCCACATTGGGGTTTGTAATTCCCCCAACATCGATTTGTTTTTTTTTTTTTTTCTTTCTTGTTTTTTTGTATGATGAAAGCCAAGTTGACTTCTTGACTTCTCGTTTTCTCATAGGAAGGTCCCTTCGTTCCCGGAATGTGTTAAAGTTGATTCTTTCCCCATTTCTCGGCACAACCACTGCTGTTGTTAAGCCAAAGGTCAGAACACGCCTGGACTTGTTTCTGGGCCCCTTGCTGGGCTCCGTGGGCCTGCGTGGGCCTACGCCAGGTTCCGTGGTCCCATCCCTGCAGATCTGTAGCGAGCTCTGCACTGAGTGGAGCCGTCTGCCCCTTGCTCCTGAGCAAGGCCATCTTGCCTTCACGTATGTGATGTCCAGCATCACCAGAAAGTGGGAATTTAACTGATAATGCAGTGAATCTTCAGGCCATCAGCACCAGGCCACGTGGACTGCCTGTGACTGTGGGCTGGACTTCCTGTGTCCGGTCTTAGGTCTCCTGGTCCCTGTTTGAAAGCTTCCTGCACAGAGGATGAAGGGCGCTCTGGTTCCAGTCTCAGCTCTTTGACTTCAGTGCTGTGCTGCAGATTTTCAACCGCTCCCTTTTTAACTCCTTGTGACTTGTTTTAGAAGCACCTTTGGGTTTTGTAAACTGCTCATCCTGACAGCTGATTCCTGGAGTCCCTGGAACTGCCTACGGTCAGTCGTGTCTTCTGAGGAGGGCAGCTCTGTCCACCTCTCCCAACCTCCTGGGATGTGCTGTCTCCTCAGGAGGCGGCCACAAGCCTCCTCGGAGGGTGGCTGCTTTGCCATGTCCCTGACAGTCCCCACAGCACCTGCGGATCTTGCCTCTCCTCCTCATGAACTGCTTCATTCAATCGCGTCCTGACATGAAAAGAAAGAAGAGCCAACAGCAGCACAGACACTCAGGAAGCCTGCAGTCCCTGGGAGCCTGAGGACACCACCCTGTAAGGACCTGAAGGTCACTCCAGGAGTTTTTCCCTGGGACACTTTGCTGTCTCAAAAGCAGCTGGCAGTCCCCAAGAGGACTGGCTGCTGTCCACGCACCCCAAGTCCTAGGGAGCAGCCCTCCTGTGTCCCGAGACCAAGTCCATGCCCTCTGCAGGCCTAGGCCTGACCTGTGCCCTATATTGTTGGGGTGACTGCCCAGCCCCCAGATGTCTTTTAGTGACCGGCAAACCTCACGGCAGAGAGGCCTCCAAACTGGCTCATGTCGTGGGGTTTCTGTGGCTCCTGGGGCTGGGCGGGCTGGTCTGTGCCCCCAAGCAAATCTCTTAATGTTCTGTCTGGTCATCCTCAGTGGGACAGGTGGCCCCAACACCTAGACGGCCATTGCAGAAGTCACTGATCCCACTGACCCAACCCTCACTGACCCAACTGGAACGCCACCCATCCGTCCGTCTTGTGTGGCTGGGATCCCAACAGCACAGAGGGGTGAGTCACAGAGGAAAAGGTTTGTTTGGTGCATTGTTCTGGAGGCACAAGACCCGGAGGCACATTTGGTGACAGTTGTGTGTTTGATGCTGGGCTGGAACTCGGGGCTGAAACGTGCCACTGAGGCACAGCCCAGCCCTGCTGATGCCTGCTTCTGGCCCTGGGCATCACTTGGCAAGAGACAGGGACATGTGTGACTCTGTGTGTGTGAGTAAATGTTTGTGAGTGTGTGTGTGGGGGTGTGTGAGTGTGTGTGTGTGTGTGTGAGTGTGTTTGTGAGTGTGTGTTTGTGAGTGTGTGTGTGGGAGTGCATGTTTTTGAGTGTGTGCGTGTGTGAGTGTGAGAGTGTGTTTGTGAGTGTGTTTGTGTGTGAGTGTGTGTGTGTGAGTGTGTATGTGAGTGTGTGTGGGGGGGTGAGTGTGTGTGAGTGTGTGTGTGGGAGTGCATGTTTGTGAGTGTGTGTGTGTGTGTGTATGAGTGTGTGTGTGCATCTACATGCGTGCATTCAGGTCTGGACTCTCCATCTTTTTAGAAAGCCCTCAGACTCACCCCTGGGCCCCACCCAAATGACTACCTGATGTGACTCCTGCCAAAGCCTCACCTCTGAACTGCATGGGGGACTCAGGTGTCCCTTCTGATGCCTCCCAACACAGGAAGCCTGGGGACATGCTGAGCCCTGAGTTGGCTCCTGCTGGAGGCTAGCTCCACCCCAGCGTGTCGAGTAGCTCTGGCCCTGAGAGCGGCTTGCTCCTCTCCCGGAAGCCCTGCGCAAACCGTGGAACCGTCTGGAGCTGCCCACAAGGCCCTTCCAGCAGAGGGGACCCTGGGAGTCCTCTGGGAACAGGGTGTCCTTGTAGGGGAAGGGAGCCCCATTAGGTGGGCAGCTTGCTTTCCAGTTGGGACCTGGCTGGAAGGACACATCCTCTGACCTAATTTCATAACTCCTGCTGGGAGCCCCAGGCGCGTAGGAAGTGGGTGAGCCCTGGGGAGTTGGGAAACCAGCCCAGGCCAGGGCGGCCCCCGCCTATAAAACCTGGGGCCTCTGCCAGGTCACAGAGGAGGACCGGGGCTGAGCAGAGTCGCCATGGCCCCAGGGCTCACTGTCCTGCTCGTCTTGTTGCTGTTCATCAAAAACCCAACGGTCCAGGCTGAAGACACCTGTCCAGGTGAGCCAGACTCACTCTCTGGTCCTGCAAGTGGGTGACCACCCACTCATGGCCCACCTACCTAGTGTCCCTCTTCACACATCTTCTTACAAAGACTTGAAGCTTGACTTCCTCCTTGGACCAGGTGCTGGAGGTACGGAGACCCTGAGTGGCAGGCCCAAGGTCGAGGGGCAGAGGGCAGGCCGCTTCCAGGGGGCGCAGCCTGTGGAGTGCCTGACTGTGGTGCTGAGACGGCAGGAAGGGCCCTGGACTTTGCAATGGCCCTGGACTTTGCAATGAGACTCCCTCATCCTGGGACTGCCRCACTTCCTCAGGGAGTCTGTAGGGAGAGCAGGGGTCCCTGTCGGAGCTGGGCAGGGCTGGGGGCCAGGAGCCTCCATAACCACTCTTACCCCCAGGGGAGGTCATTCCTGAGGACAGAGCAGCCTCCTCCACACATAGCGTGTGATGGAGGAAGTGCAAACAGAGGCCTGCAGCCTGCTCCAGTGGGAGGAGGCTGGAAGGACAGAAGGAATACCGCCTAGCTGGCCACTGCCATGTCCAGGCACAGCCCTGGTCCGTGGATCAGATGTCCTCCTAGGACATACTTGCTTTCTAATCAACAACAATATTTTTCAAAGAAAACTATCTCTGGTTCCGGCTGTGCTCTGTGTCCTTGGGTCAGATGTGCCCCCTCCCCAGGGACCTAGGAGACCCCTCCCCACCCATGCTCAGTTCCCGAGGTCCGGAGAGAAAGTATCCCCTGGACCCAGCTCTCTGTTTCTTAGAAATGCTGATCACTCCTTACCATCTACTGTTTCCCAGCCTGCCCGAGTCTGGCGTGCCCAATCTTCTGTTTGGCTCTTCCCTCTGACCTTGCCACACCCTATGCTCATCCTCCTTGGTGCTGAGGAAACCAAGCGCTCGGCTGTGACCAGCCCCATAACACACAGCCCTGGGGAGCTGGGCTGTCCCTGAGTTCCTCTGCCTCACCTCCAGCCCAAGTGAGGACACACCACTTCCCCTTGGGAGGGGACCTCTCTTCCAGGCCAGCCCTCCGGCTGAGCGGGTAGACTGAGGTGACAGGTGCCCTTGAGTCCAGGCACCTCAGGCCAAGCTGACGACCCCGCCCGACATTGTGCTTTCCTGCAGAGGTGAAGCTGGTGGGTCTGGAGGGCTCCGACAAACTCACCATTCTCCGGGGCTGCCCCGGGCTGCCCGGCCTCTCGGGGCCCAAGGGAGAGGCTGGCGCCAAGGGAGAGAGAGGTGAGTGCCGGCCGGTGGGTGGCTGGCCGTGTGGGCAGAGGGGCACCAACTCTAGCTCTGCTGACATTGGGTGCCAGGCTGGGCGACCCTGGCCTTGGCCCCTGCTAGGGTGAGTGGCGAAGCTGACTGCCCGGGTGCCACCGGGTTCTGAAAACGCTGCAGGAGGGGCTCCCCCGGGCACCTCACGAGGTTTGAGGGTCTCAGCAGGTCGGCTTCCAGGCCGGGATCCTTACCGGGTTTACTCGGCTTCGGCCAGACTTCCCGATCCTGGCACCTCCATGTCCCCACCTGAAGATCAGGGTCCACTTCCTTCTCAGCCCATCTTAGATGACAAAATCGGGGGTCCTTTCTCAGCTCACACCCCAGTGAGAGTGGGGCAGCCGCCAACCCAGGGCTGCTTCAGGGCACAGCAGGGTCCCAGCTTCAAGCTGCAGTCCGAGCCCTTGTCACGGGGCAGAYGCTGTGCGGGGGCCTCGCTGCCCCGACCTGGCCCAGGAAGCTCAGCAGGGAGCTGCCTTGCCGAGCCCCCCAAGCCTGGAGGTGTTCAGGGAGGTGCCTGGCAACACTGAGTGGGGACGGGACCACCGTGGATGACCAAGCTTGACCCATGCAGTCTCTGAGTGTCCAGGCCTGAGGTCTGAGTGGGCAGCCCCAGTCAGACCCTGTGTGTGACCGCTGTCCGAGATGGACCCACACATGCTGGTGGCACTGGTCTGGAGGCCATGTGGCTCCTCTGGTCAGAACACCCAGGAAGGGCTGTGTGATCCTGTCACCATCTCCACTGTGTCCAGGGCATGGGGCGTGACACAGAGCCACATCCTCCTACATGGGACACTGTGGGAGAGGCCTGCCCTTCTCTGTGTGGTGGCCCCCTAGTCTGAGGATCTCTGAGGATCCAGTTCCTGTCCCAGGACTGAGGCCTCACTGGACAGTCCAGCTCTGTGAGGCCTGTGTGGCCCCAGGTTCGGTATCTACAGAGGGTGGGGCCCAGATTGCACCCTAAGAGCAACAGTGAGCCAGCTGAAGGCCCCGTCTGGGGCTCCGGCTCGTGGTCAGCAACCGTGGGCTTCACCGGTGTTCTTCCAGCTTTTGCCAGGCTGAGCCCCAGCTGACCGTCCAGAGGACGGCTGGGCTGCGGGGAGGGTCGAGGCTCGTTGCCCGGGCGTCCATCTCAGGTAGAGCTGTGCAGGTGGCACTTCCTTCCCTGGTGTGTTTGGAATCTGCAGGAGAGCGAGGCACCTCCGGAGCCCCTGGGAAAGCAGGACCACCTGGACCCAAAGGTGACGGTGTCATCCAGCTGAGTGGGGCTGAGAGGACCTCAGTCTGCCTGGAAGACGGGGTGGGGTAGAGGCAAGATGAGGGCCCCCTGCCCCACCAGCACCTGAGCCCCGCAGTCCCTGCAGGACCACGACCGGGAGCTGCCCCGGGCCAGAGGCTGGATCTGCCCAGCTGGCCACTGACCTCACCGACCTCCCCAAGCATCGCCTGCCCTTGCGCGGTGCCCAGGCAGCTACTCCCCCCTCCGTGGGCCTGGGGGCTCCCAGCATCGGCATCTCATGCTCTGCCTGTCTCCAGGAGACCGCGGGGAGAAGGGGATGCCAGGAGAGAGAGGTGAGCTTCAGCCCCGGGTGCCCGCGGGCTCTGTCCAGGGTAGGAAAAGGCAGCGCTCTCGGGCCTCAGCTGCCCCACGGCCTCCCCGGGGGTGGGTGAGGGCCTCCACCCACATTCCCCTTGTCCAAGCAAGGAGCAGAAGGGTGGAAGGGGCCCGGACATGCTTGGTCCTCCCAGTGCCCGCTGCCGGCACCCAGGTCTGCCACAGTCAGCCTAAGCGATTGGCAAGACRAAGGTGGCGCTGCTGTGTGAACTTGAACGTTTGAGAGCTTTCGACTCTTGTTCTGTTTATGCTCACTTATTTTTTTAAAAAATTGTAAAATCAGGAAAAGCAGAAATACAAAACTCTAAGACATAGTCGTGTGCTCTGTCTACAACTAAATACTGCACGATGAGGACACAGAGCCGAGTCCCAATGCTGGGGACACCAGCCCAGCCAGCCGTCCCTCCCGAGGACAGGACAGTCGGTGCAGCGTAGGCAGACAGGATGGACCGGGCTGGACCCAGCTCACCCTGCTCTTTGATGGGGGCCCAAAGAAATGGCTGAAGCGGGAGAGTGYTTGTCACCAGGCCACCGAGGAAAGCAGCAGGTGGGGCCACGTGCTCCACAGAAGCAAGATCTAGTGACCACTGGCCAGGGCTGGACTGGCCGGTCCTGAAAAGACTCTGCTGTGTTCCTGGAGCAACTGGAGCTGAAGGGGACAGGGACGGTGGCTTCACACTAATGGCCAGTGTCCCTCTCCCCAAACAGGAGGTGCTGGGCACCCTCAGTCATGTGCCACAGGTGACCACTCCACCCGCCCTGTGCCTGAGCCCAGCAGCCCCGGGCCAGCTGCAGACCCACGGCCACAGTCCCAGGATGGAGCGGACACTTCACTCCCTGGATTACCTGAGCACCTGGCAGCTGTGGCTGGACAACCCTCTCCACGGCCACCTCGGGAAGACCTTGCGATGGACCCCAGGGGCCAGGAGGCTCCGGGAGGAGGCTGGGTGGTCCTGGAGGGGCAGTCAGGAGGCTGGCCAGGGCAGCACAGCTGGGCAACCTGGGGGGCTTCTCTGTCCCTGGCATAGGAGTCTGCCTGCTGTCCCTGCCTCCCCTCCTGGACCCATCCCACTTGATTCCCTGGTTCTCTTCCCAGGACCTCGGAGCTGTAAGGAGCTGCTCACCCGAGGCCACTTTCTGAGCGGCTGGTACACCATCTACCTGTCCAGCTGCCAGCCCCTGACTGTGCTGTGTGACATGCACACTGACGGAGGGGGGTGGACTGTGAGTCGGCCGCTGGGGCCCTCAGGCAGAGGCAGTGGCCTAAGAATCTCAGAGGCCAGGCTCTGCAGCTGGTGGGAGAACAGACCCTGTGGGATTCCATTTCCCTTGGTGCCTTTCGGCTCCYTCCTTCACTGAGGACAGAGACTGAGAGGTGATGGGGAGGTGACCCCTGTGGGTAAAAGCCCAGGCGATAGGAGGAGATCCCAAGAATTCCACTACCCTCCTGCTGTGTGACTTTGAGCTTGCTGCCTACCCTCTCTGAGCCTCCATTTCCTGAATCATGGGTTATCTGCAATGAGACCTTGTGGCATGCTCGGGGCTCCAGCCTGACGCTCTGAGAACTATCAGTCCCTGCTCCCCTTTGAGGCCGGGGTCCCTGCGCTGTGGCAGTCAGCCTGGACTCCCCTCGAGTCCCCTGCTGCTCTGCAGGTCTTCCAGAGGAGGCTGGACGGCTCTGTGGACTTCTATCGGGATTGGGCCGCGTACAAGCAGGGCTTCGGCAGTCAGCTGGGGGAGTTCTGGCTGGGCAATGACAACATCCAGGCCCTGACCGCCCAGGGTAGGCAGGCAGCGCTGGGCGAGGCTGGCCCTGGGCTGGACAGAAAGGACCCGCCCCTAGACCAGGGCTTCCAGGGCAGAAGCACCGAGCCCCATGACCCCAGGTGTCCAGTGTGGTCACAGGCAGGGCTCAGCTGTGACATTCCAGGACATGTGTCCCCTGTTGGGGTCTCCCAGAACACAAGACACAGGGTGGGACTTGCCCATTGTGGGCCACTGGCACCTGAGAACCCCAGATCATAGGGTGCAAGGACAGTGAGGTTGGGGACAGGCTTTGAGTCCCCTGCTGTCTCTCCTGTGGGACAGTGGCCTCCAGGACAGTGGCCCGACAGCTCCCCAGCAGCACAGCTCTCCCACCCGCTCTGATCCACATCTTGACTGCCCTGTGGCCAAATGGAAGAAGCCAGTCCCCTCTCTCCTGCCCTCTGCCCCGTGGTCATGGCGAAGTGTCCACACAAGTGCCCCAGGTCCTTGCAGGAGCCCCTGCCCACACAGCCCCTGTGCCCCGGTTGTCCAGGCCCCTCCCAGGGCGGGGCCCACGTGGCCTTTCAGCACCACCTGTGGGGGTSGGAGGCTGCCCAGGAGCCAGGGGCCACTCCAGGTCCTCCATGGCCCCGGGTCCTCAGACATGCCCCAGACAGCTTCCTCTGACTGCCCCCGTTGGCCGCTCATTGCCCCACACGGGGACCTCTCGTGACTGGTGGCATAAAGATCTAGGGGCTGAGACCAGACCGTCCCCACAGGAACCAGCGAGCTCCGCGTGGACCTGGTGGACTTTGAGGGCAACCATGTCTTTGCCAAGTACAGCTCGTTCAGGGTGGCGGGGGAGGCAGACAAGTACAAGCTCACCCTGGGAGCCTTTGTTGGAGGCAGTGCTGGTGAGCGTCCRCCTGGGGCCCAGGCTGAGGCTGAGAGTGGAGTGGGAGTGGGGAGGACCCGGCTGAGGGCCACCACTCAACCTGGTTTTCCCACCTGCAAAAGCAGATGCTCAGACCCATGTCCTTATGGAGTGTGGGGCCTAGGATGCAGTCAGCTGACACTCCAGGTCCATGTCCACTCCAGGGGGAGGGGGCCTGAGTGACTGCCCATCGTCACGGGTGAACCCCAGAAGAGAACAGTCATTTCCCATAGGTCCTTGGATCCCTGCTTCCCAAACATGTCCCTGGGACATCCTTTCCCAAAGGGACTCYGGCCTCAGGACTCTGGGTGGCATGTCCCACAGAGCACCTGTTTGGAGGGGTCCCAGTGCATGGTGCCCCCTGCGGCCACTGGAGATGGCTGTGCCTGAAGCCGACTTGGCTGCACGGGACCCAGTGCTGGATGGCCTGGGGAATCTCCGTGCCCGCAGCCTGGGTCCAGCTGCTCCGCCTGCTCGCTGTCCCCCGAGTCCCCTGGGAGGGCCGCGGGCAGGGAGCAGACTGCCTTCTGCAGGGGGTAAGGCTTAGTGGGTGAAGTGCCCCCAGTGGGAGCCAGAGGTGCCACCGCCCAGCATGGAGCAGGGTGGGTCCACGTGGGGGCTGTGCTGTGCCTCCCTGGGACCACCAGGCAGGTGGGGGAGAAGTCCATGGGAGAGGCACAGGAGAGGGGACAGCTCTGATGGTCCTGGGCAGCCCTGCGGGGAGCAGGCAGCGGGTGCAGGAGGGAGGCCGAGATGGCAGGGCCGGGAGGACCCAGGGCGGCTTCCAGCACCACAGAACCACGTTTTCCCCACGCAGGTGATTCTCTGACGTATCACAACGACAGGTTCTTCTCCACCAAGGACCAGGACAATGACATCAGCCCTTTCAACTGTGCCGAGAAGTACCATGGAGCCTGGTGGCACTCTCAATGCCACCTGTCCAACCTAAATGGCCTCTACCTCAAGGGTGACCACGAGACCTTTGCCGATGGTGTCAACTGGAAGACGGGGAAGGGGTACAATTACAGCTACCAGATGTCGGAGATGAAGGTKCGGCCCACCTAGTCCCCACAGGCCTCTCCCACCTGAGCAGGTGGGGAGGTGAGACCAGGACCACAGGGGGAGGGCAAGCTCACGCAGGCCYGTGGCTCACAGACAGGCAGCAGACCCAGGGGCCTGGCTGAGCCCCCAGCCAGAGTGGGCTCTGCCCCACTGAGGTCGGGTGCTGTTGCACCCTGGGGACAGCTGCGGACTCCCCTTTAGCATGGGGCTCCACTGGGTGCCCCTGACCAACCAGCCCACCCGCCCCTACACGTGACCAATAAAGCAGCCCCTTCGCTCACCAGAGAGCCACCCTGACACCCGCCTGAACGGAGTCTCCCTTCCTAAGGGGCGTCCCCGCAGAAGTCCTGCCTGCGTGTCCACTTCCCTGCCTGACTAGGTTTCATTTCCATTGTCATGGGGCCAAGGGACCCCAGTGTCTGCGTCGAAGTCACAAACCTTCAGCTGGTCCCAGCTACAGGGCCACACGGCCTCCCCTCTCCCCACGGCCTGCGGAGCCCTTGGTCTGGCCCTTCAGCCCACACCAGACCTCACTGGACAGACCACTCTGAGGAGGCTCTTGTGCCCAGAAGGCTGCAGAGCCGACTCCTGGTTCTCGAGGGGCAGGGCTTCAAGGCCTTCCCACCTCTGGGCCCCGGAACGGGGCTCTAGGAGCTCAGAAGGTCAGGAGCGGCCAGGCAGCCCTTTCAGCAGACGACCTCCCTGGTCCCAAAGCTTCAGAGCATATTCCTGGCTTGCCACCTCCAGTGCCAAGCTCTGTCCCCTGGTGGGGTGACCCCACCTCTCCCTCCTGAGCCCCCTCTTGACTCATGGCCCCTCACTCACCTTTAAGGACACTTGGGAACTTGGAAGCTCTCATCAAAGGAGCGGGACTGAGTGGGAGCCTTCCATTGTCATTGGGCCAAGGGACCCCAGTGTCTGTGTCCGATAATGGCAGCCCCCCGCCCCGGGAGCTGACGGAGCCATCTCCAGAGCTGGCCTGCCCTGCCCAGTGCCCGGTTCCTCCTGGGACCATGGGCCTAACTCAGTTGACCTGAGCAGACATCCTGGGAGATGGTGGGTGGGGTCTCCCTGTCTCAGCCAGGGAGAACTTTCTCTAGAGGACTGAGGAAGGGTGAAGGCTGGGGAAGGAGGGGTGGCCAGGTCAAGTCCAGGACTCTGCTTACCAAGACGTTCAGAGAGGAAAGGAAGGGCGCGGGGAACGGGCCTGTGTCTAGACTCTCAGCCCCGCCTCCCCGGGTCACCACGCAGTTAGTGCCTTCAAACAGCGGGATCTGGTGACCTGGGGTTCTGTAGGTCAGGAGCCACCAAGGTCGTGCGGAGCTACTTGCGGTGGGTGGAGAGGGCTGGCTCCTCGGGGAGAGAGAGAGGTCTATCTGGAAGCTCAGTCAAACATGCCTAGCAGGGCGGGGTGCCCCTCCAGGCAGAGCAAGGCCTCGTTCGAGCCCTGGGTTCCCAGCACCCTGCACAGGACGGGATGAGGTCTGAACAGAAGCTTTGCTGAAGCCGGCAGCCCACATTCCTATAAAAGGTCCTCCTCCTGATGACTTACTGGGTAGACGCCGCTCATAACCAAAACAAGTGCTGCTCCTCACTCCGCAGCCCCTGAGTSAGAAAGACCCTCAGTGCCCAGTGTAGGGACTCGGGGACTTTTATACTGCTGGTCGCATCACGGTGGAGGCACTAGATCAGGAAATATCAGGGTATGCAGCTAAGGGCAGCAGACACACACCGTCGCTCCCAGACGGTTCCCCTCTGTGGCCTGGAAGTGTCACTGAGTGCACCCACAGGAGCCCTGAGCTGAAGCAACCCCAAGGCCACTCAGGAGGACACTGGGTCAGGCCTGTGGGGACCCCTTCAACTTCTCCACGCAACGCAAGGAGGCAGCTGCACCCCTCGACACCCCTGTGACTCGGCTTTCCCGGCTGCAGCCCCAACTCCTGAGAGGAGGCGGCTTCCCCTGGCTCAGGGTTCAGAGGTCAGGCCTGGGTCGGCTGGTCCAGGGCTGAGACATCTTGGCAGAAGGGCACAGCGGAGGGAGCTGCCCAGCTCACAGCAGCCGGGGAGCAGAGAGCCAGGGGCTGGGGAGAGGATGGCCCAGCAGGAAGTGACCTGCTTCCCCCAAGCTGCCACCTGCAGCAGGCCATCCAGCCCCCGTGGATGACTGCACACCGGACGAGTCCAGGGTCAGAGCCCTCAGATCCAGCCAGCCCTGACCAAGCCTTCAGCACAGGAGCTGCCGGGGACATCTTTAAAATGGTCTGAATCATTTTTAAAGAAACAGAGATGCTCAGATCCAAGGATAGGAGTGACACAGAAGTCTTTCCCTGGCATCCAGTGTCCCTGACTCAGTGACTGCAGGGAGAGGTCCCCATATCCCCAGGGACAGCAAGGTCCCATTAAGGCCACAGAATTACAGCTTTTATATTTAGGAGTCTAGATGGGCTGGGTATTTCATAATCTTATAATGCATAAGGAATCTGGCCTATTATCAAAAAGGTCTCATACGTCCGACTGAAATATAGAGCTGACTAATTGACTGAGTCTTACGACTGGACTTGTAAACCTTGGTGCTTTATAGCCTGCTTTGGAATCTGAGAGACGTGGGGTTCATTGCATTTCTAGACTAGATTCTTACACTTCTAAACACTGATTCCCAGAAGGTCTGCTCCGCAGAGAGTCGGGTGACCAACACTGCCACCTTTCATACGTGACCTTCCTCATGTTGCATCTTCCTCCCTGGACTCTGAGGAATAGCAGGGGCCCTGGACCTGCGGCTGGGGGGTGGGAGAAGGCCTGGCCACCACTCTGCCTGCTGGACATGCTGACATGTGGTTCTCACCATGGCTCACCATCAGAGTCCCCAGAAAGTTGTCTAAAACATCAGATTCCAGCTATTTCCCCTGACAGCTGGGTTTCCCAGGACCGAGGAGGGCCCATGACAGCATTTTTGGTCTCCCAGGTGGCTCTGATGGGCAGTCAAGTTTGGAGTCACACGTGTGCCCAATCCAGGGAGCTGTGTGGCCCGCAGGGTGCCCGTGGTCCAGCGACGAGCCCCACCCCAGCCGCCACAGTGCAGCTCCTGGTAGAGCAGATGGCTGGGCTGGGAACAGCGGGTCGAGGGAGTCAGGGTAAAGAGCTTCCTTCGAGCCCCACGGGCACAGCCTCCAGAAAAGGCCAGGCCACAGGGTCAGCAGAGGCAGCCCCCTGTGTGCAGGCCCACGGCTTCTCTGTTCTGCCCACTTAGTGATGGGAGGATGGCCAAGTGCCCAGACGTAGGACGGGCAGTCAGGGCTGCGCCTGCTGATGTGGTTCTGTTCTTGACTCCTGTGTCCTAGCTGCAAGCCCAGGAACCTTGAGTCTCAGAGCACTCCCAAGGTCAAGGTCAAGGTCAGCTGTCATGACGGCACAGCTGCCCTGGGAAGAGGAAGGTCTGCAGGGCTGGGAGCAGCTGCCCTGGCCACACCATCCTGTGGCATCTTAAGGTGGCAGTGGCGGGCTAGGCCTGAAGGTCTCCAAAYGCAGCTGAATGGACATGGGTCTGTCGGGAGCCGCTGGGACACGGAGTCTGGGTCTGTGGGGGATGGAGCCGAGCGCTGGGATTTGATGACCTGCATTTCAACCCYGATTTCATCATAGAGCACTTCTCGCCACTGAAGACCCAGCACTCTGGGGCCCTGCGTGCCACCTTGGACAGAAGGCATTTCAGATGGTTCCTGGTCCTGCTGGCTTCCTGCCTGGGACTTTCACCACATCTTGTGGTGGGCGGTGGGGCGCCCAGCCTCGGGCCAGCTCCAGGAATGGCTCATGAGCCGCCCCCCACCCATATGCCTCAGGCTGACTAGTCATGGTGACAATGACAACCAGAGAAGCTCAAGTGCAGCTCAAGAACARGGTAGGAGGCATCGCTGGCCGGGAGCCCAGAGGGTGTGGGGAGCTCCCAGCTCTGCCCTCGCCTGAGCGGCCTCTCCCTCGCCCTTCGCAAGCCACCTTGGCAGCCGGGGTGGGAGGCCACCGCAGCTCATTCCCGCCCAGGTCCAGGTGGCAGTGAGCAGAGCCAGGGCTCCCGGCAGGGGCAGGCCCCAGGCTCCACCTCCACGTGCTCCCTCGCCTGTCTTCCTGAGGTCCCACTAGTTCACCTGACCCCGTCGTCTGCCTGTCAGCTCAGGCGACTTCCCTGGTCTGGCAGGAGGGATTTTAACTCAGGCTGAGACACTTAAAGAAAAATAAATGACGCGCCTCGAGGCGCCCGCAGGCCGCTCTGCGCAGGTGTCAGGCCTTCTCCACGGCCGGCCGCCGGTCAGCCTCCCGACTCTTTAATCCCTTTGTCCTTTCTCTCCCTGAMAACCACGGGGCTCTCCTTCTCCTGGTAACATCTCGTCAGAGGACCCAGAAAAACGAACCCACACTTTCAAATTGCTTTCCAAGCCCTCCCCTTGAGCCACCTGGACGTTCCAGCCACCACCGACGTGTGGTCAGAGGCAACGCTTTTGTCAGACTCGAACCTCTGCCCTCCAACCTGCCATGGGGCTGCCAGGCCAGGACACCAGGGTGGCTCCTGGGGTACCGGCAGGAGTCGGCCTGAGGGCTGCCAGCTGCTAAAACCACAGACCCCACCCCACACTGCATGCAGCTTGGCAGGGGCCAGCGTTCCCCCCAACGTGGTGCGGGAGGTTCTGGGCCAGTCCTGGAAGACCCCTGGCCTGGCCTCTGTGGGCCTCCCTCATCGACTCTCCAGGGTGCGGCCCCAGCTAACCACAAGGCATTCAGAACTGTGGCTGTCCCGCGTCCTCAGGAGGACAGAGGTTGACAAGAACGCACGGCGCCCTCTCTGCCTCACAGTTGCGGCAAGGACACCTTTCACAGAAGGCAACGTGGCCAGGACRCTCCTAGCGTGAAGAGAGCAGGCCTGGGGAGTCCTGTCCTTCCCCAGAGATGCCATCTGAGAGCCTGCAGGAAGGTGGCCTTGCCCTCTGAGCCACTGTCTGGAGGCCCGCTGGCCCGAGGGCAGGGAGGATGTGACTAGGGGATCTGCCTCCCCGGCATTCAGAGAACAGGTCCCCTGCTGAGCCCAGTGCTGTGCCCCCTAGAGTCCCGCTCCTGGGGCCTCCCTGATGCCACGGGAATGTCTCACCCCTGGTGAGAGCAGGAGCTCCTGCCGGGCACGATCCACACCCTGGGCCCCTGGAGGACTCCGCACCACAGATGCTCCAGGAACCAGTGAGCTGTGGTGCATCTGCATCTTTCCCTGCTCACTAA